TCCTTGCTAACAGTTTGTTTCTGGTATTTATTTTTGTTATAATAACCACCTAATAGGTGTGAAGTGGTATCTTATTGTGATTTTTATTTGCATTTCCTTAATGACTAGTGATTTGAGCACCTTTTTCATGTACTTATTGGCCATTTGTATATCTTTGACATAAAATGCAGTCACAGTTTATTTCTAGGATCTTTATTTTATTCCATTTGTTTATATGTTTGTCTTTATGCCAGTACCATACATTTTGATTAGTGTAGTTTTGCAATCAGGAAATTTGAGTCATCTTACTTTGTTCTTCCTTTTCAGTTTGTTTTAGCTATTCATGTCTCTCACAATTCCATATAAATTTTAGGACAAAAAAAATCATTTGAGTTTTGTTGTTGTTGTTGTTGGATATTGGGAATTGAACCCAAGGGCACTTAACTACCAAGCCACATCCCCAGATCTTTTTATTTTTTGAGACAGGGACTCACTAAGTTGTTGAGGGTGGCCTTGAACTTGCAATCCTCCCATCTTAGCCTCCTGAGCCACTGGTATTACAGGCATGTGCCACCAAACCTGGCTGTTTTTATATTTTGAAAGGGACTGCACATTGAATACTTGGATCATGTTGGGTAGTATGAACATTTTTAATATATTTTAGCTGTTGATAGACCTTTATTTTATTTATTTATTTATATGTGATGCTGAGATTCAAACCCAGTGTCTCCCACATGCTAGGCAAGCCCTCTACCTCTGAGCTACAACTCCAGCCCAGTATGAACATTTTTGTCTGTTAAGTCTTCCAATCCATGAGCATAGAATGTCTTGGGTTATATATTGATTATACGTATTACCTACCTATTTATCTATATATGTACACATCTATATCATATATTCATCAGCAAACAGGAACAATTAGACTTCCTCCTTTTTCAAATTGGATGCTGACGTTCTTTATTTCCTTCTCTTGTCTGACTGACTCTGGCTAGAACTTACAGTACTACATGGAATAGAGTGATAAAGTAGGCATCCTTGTCTTGTTCCAGATCTTAGAGGAAAAACTTTTCCCCATTGAGTATATTGTTAGCTGTGGGCTTGTTATATCTGACTTTTACTGAGAGGTGGTATATTTCTTGTGACTCATATCTTGAAAATTTTAATCATGAAGGGACATTGAACTTTATCAGATGCTTTTTCTGAATTTATTTGTCCTTCATTCTGTTGATGTGACATACTGTGTGTTTGCTTTGGGTATGTTAAACCAGCCCTTTAATAATTCCCACTTGATCATGATATGTGATTTTTTAAAATTGCTGTTGGATTCTGTTGAAGATTTTTGCATGCATGTTTATAGGAATATGGCCTACAGGTTTTTTTTTCTTCCTGTAGCCTTTATCTGCTTTTTTGTGTCAGAAATGATGGCCTCATAAAATGAATTTGAAAGAATTCTCTTCAATTTCTTTAAAACATAAGAAATCTTTAAATGTTTGGTAGGATTCAACAGTGAAACTTTCCTTTGATGAGAGACTTCTTACTGATATTTAATCTCTCTCTTTTTTAACTTAGTGGTCTGTTTAGATTTTCTTTTTTTTTTAAGTTATCCATAGGCAGAGTACCCAATTCATTTATGAATTGTGCAACCCAGGGAACCAGCAACCTCTCTGCCAGCCTTGGCATGCTACAATGCACACACCTACACCCCTGCCCCTCACCCTAAGCCCATACAAATCATCCTCAATTCGCAGAGTGGCAGTTCCCTACCTGAGGGTGGCGCTCTCCCCCTGCCGGACCATCATGTGTTGTCATGACAGTGTGACAGTAGAATGTACTTTGGCATAATATATACCTTTCTGTTTATGATTCCGCTCTTATGGTTGTTCATGATGCCAAGTTACCCTGGTCGTATATACAAGTACAAGGCTAAAAAGATTATGTCCAGTTAATTCTACTGTCTTTCCTGTTCCCCTTCTCTTCCTTTCCCTTTGTTTCCCTTTGTCTACTCCAATGGACTTCTGTTCTTCCCATCCCCAACCCCGCTTGTCATGGGTTAATATCCACAAATCAGTGAAAACATTTGGCCTTTAGATTTTGGGGATTGGCTTATTTCTCTTAGCATGATATTCTCTAGTACCATCCATTTACCCACAAATGCCATAATTTCATTCTTCTTTATGCTAAGTAATATTTTATAGTGTATATATAGCATTTTTTTTTAGCCATTCATCCATTGAAGGAAACCTAGGTTGTTTCCATAGCTTGGCTGTTGTGAGTTCACTTGCTATAAACGTGGATGTGACAGCGTCTCTGTAGTATACTGATTTTAAATCCTTTGGGTGCAGGGCTGGGGTTGTGGCTCAGTGGTAGAACACTTGTCCAGCATTTGCAAGGCCCTGGGTTCAATCCTTAGCACCCCATAAAAATAAATAAAATAAAGGCATTGTGTCCAACTACAACTAAAAAAATATTTTTTAAAAAATCCTTTGGGTGGGATAGCTGGATCAAATAGTGGTTCCATTCCAAGTTTTCTGAGGAATCTCCATTCTTCTTTCCAGAGTGGTTGCACCATTTGCAGTCCCACCAACAATGTATAAGAGTACCTTTCTCCCCACATCCTCACCAACATTTAGCATTACTTGTATTCTTTGTAACTTCTTTTCCTATTCGTATCTCTTTAATTTCTTTCTTTTGTTTGATTGCTCTGCCTAGGGTTTCAAGGACTATTTTGAATAGGAGTGGTGAAAGAGGGCATCCCTGTCTTGTTCCAATTTTTAAAGGGAATGCTTTCAGTTTTTCTCAATTTAGAATGATGTAGACCTTGGGTTTAGCATATATAGCTTATTTCAGTCTTGATATGTTGAATATGTCTCGTAACTTATCCATTTCTTCTATATTTTCCAATTTGTTCGCATACACTTCTTCATGATCCTTTGTATTTTAATGGTATCAATTGTTAATTTCTCATTTTTCATCACTAATTTTGTCTTGTCTCTTCTTAGTCTAGCAAAAACTTTTGTCGGTATCTTTTCAAAAAAACAGGTTTTGTTGTATTGATCATTTGAATGTTTTGCAACCTTACCTTTGTCTCCTCTGATCTACTAATTTGGGGTTTGATTTGTTCATTCTTTTCTAGTTTATCGATGTGCTATAACTATAGTTTTATAACCACAGTTTCTGTTTATGTTTTGTTAGTTCATATCTAGGTACTGATGATAAATTATATTTTCCCCTTCTTAGCTTTTTTATATCTATTTCCAATTAATATATAGTTTTTTCTTATTTTTGAACTCTTAAAAAATAGGTACCTTTATGTAGTCACTTTTAAACGTAGCCAGAAATTTCTAATATTCATTCATTGATGTTGTTAAATATAGCTATAACTTAACCTTAATCAAAGTATCTAAGATTTTTCCAGTTTGGGGTTCTTCTAATGTGTCAAAATTTTCTTAGTAATGTCTTCTAGTGTGCTTCTACATGTGTATTAGAGTTTCTCTTGGATATCTATACCCAGAAATACAATTATAGCTCATAAGGTATGGAAGTATTCAACTGCTGTTGTTACCATATATCTTACTCAAGTAGGTGTAATATGTAACTTTGGCCTTAATTTGCATTTTCCTACTTAATAATGAGGTTTCATATCTTTCTCACACATACTAGCCATGCATATTTTATGTTGCTGTGAATTGTCTTTCAGAATGTCCTTGGCCTATTTTTATTTTTGATTATTTGCTTTTTTATCAACTTGCCAAGAAGCAGTGATGATATTTTGATTGGGCAAAGAGAAGGATGGAGGGGTAATGGAGGCAAGAAAGATGGTGGAGTGAGATAGACATTATTACCTTGGTACAGGTATGACTGCATACATGATGCAATGGTACATCCTGTAAAATCAGAAATGAAAGTTGTTGCAGTTGTGTCCAATGAATCAAATTTCACTCTACTGTCATATATACATAATTAAAATGGATTAGTTATTTTTAAAAAAATAAGTAGTGATGTGTGCATGAGTCACCTTCAAGGTTTGTTCTCTCCTCTCTCTTCCCCTCTCCTTTCTTTTTTTTCTCATGCATGCTGGGAAATTTTCCTACCACTGAGATATACCACTAGCTAATATCTTAGGACTTTGTAAACCTTTATCCTTATCCTTAGGGTTTCCAGCATTATCCAATTCATTTCAAGCATAACCCCTCCTCACAGGGACAGATAGTATCACACCTATGATTTTATAATTTGCTATTTGGGTCTTGAAATTCCCTGTTTAGCTGAAGTTAGCTATTTTACCATCCCCCTTTAATTTATCAAGGACCTAATGATATCCTTGAAGTGTAAGGAAGATAATTCTGTAGTCAGATGGAGGGGAATAAATAGATTTTTAAATTGTTCCTTTGTCTCTGTCAGTTCTGTTGCTGTGGTGTTTCTGCCAGACCTGGCCCTGCAGTCTGGTAGTGAAGAGCTTTTATTTCAAAATATCCTGACTGATCCAACCCCTGAGTCTTCATGGTAACCCACACTTAGACTCAACACTCTTTTTAGTTCTCATGCACTTATGCTTTTTTATTCAACAGTTGTTTCCAAGCAGAAGCACTCTGCTTTGACAGCTTGGCCTCTAGCTTTGGCCAACAAATACTAAGCACTCTGACCCTGTCCCCCTTTTAGGAACCTTATGTGGAATCCCCATATTAGCCTTGCCCTTTCTGGTGCATTATCCTTTTAGGACTTTGTCTTTTCTGTCATAAAATTAAAATCATTCAAATCTATTAGAAAATTTCAAGTAAAGCTTCAAGTAATCTCTGGAAGAGATCAGAGTTTTCTGTCATCTTGGCTAACAGATCTGTGCCCCAAATCCCTCCATCCCTTGAAATAGATTTCCTTTGACTGCAGGGGGTTCCACATCACTGTTTTCCATGGTGAGTGCCAATTTAGATTGGCACTTCTAGTAGTTTTCCCAAGCAATGGAAATTTCCAAGCTGTTGGAATCACTGCCTAAAGTTTTCAGCATTTATTAAGGTCTGCCTCAAAAGGAATAGATTAAGCAGATTCATTGAATCTAAGAGAACTAAGCCCCATCATGACTCCTCAGTATCCATTGTGTTAAAGAAAATTTTGTGTTCCAAGTCAGTTGGAGATCAACATGGAAATGTAGCTACACTTATCTGCTGATTCTGTTCAACTAGGTAGAGAAGAAATAGTAGTAGTCCAAGTTTTTGGCATTTGTTAATTTCTTGCCTTTGTTATTATTGATTAGTCTCACAGAAGGGGATGATTAAATTATCTAATTTAAGGAGATATTTATAAATAGTTATAAATTAATTGTTGATTTGCTTTGAGTTATAAAGCACAAAGAAGAGCCCAATTGATCATGAAAATTAGGACTCAAGCATTTTTTAAAATAATTTTAACTTTTGAATATTAGAACCTATGAAAAATGCACATTAGTTCTAGCTGAGATTGTAAGTAGTTAAGTATGCCATTATTTTACTATTTTGCTTAACATGTTTCAATATTATCTTAGTAAATCTCCATAACAACCTGGTGAACTAAAGTGATACAACCCTTATTTTTTAAAAGGCCTTAAGCCTAAGAGAAAGAAGTTGTGCAAGAACAAGAACCTATTTTTTACAGAGACAGGGCATTTTCTGAGTTCAAGCTACACTAGTTAATATATTTACCTGTCCTGTTCTCAATTAATGATCATTTCATCTTTTTTCTTCTTTAACTTCAAGCTATGGGTGCAGTAACACATGCATTTACCCCAGCTACTTAAGAGCCTGAGGCAGGACAATTGCTTGAGCCCAGGTATTTAAGATCAGCCTGACCATCATCATGAAATACCATCTCACAAAACAGAAAAAAACAAACATTGTACAAATAATTTTCAAGTTAACAAAATGTTTATAGGGCATACAGATTAGGAGAGCATATGAAAAAGTTCTGATACTAGATCTAAAACATTATTAAGTATTGAATTATATTTGGTCAGTGTTTTCATATGAGTGTTAAAATACCAATTTTATTACTTTTTTCAAATATAGAAACAGGAATTTAATTCTTCAATACATGAAAGCACAATCTAGAACATCAGTAAATTTCAATCCAGGTAAGACTTAAAAAATGAGTTACTCTTGGTGTTCATGCCCTGTGTAAATAAGAGTAAGAATGTTTGATCAAAAAAGAAGAGTGGAAAAATTTAAATGTTCAAATTCCATTCATATTTTTTATATCTTTCTTGCTCATATAGAATCCAGGATATCTTAATAATTAACTATAAGAAATTTATCATCTAAATGATATTGTCTGAAAAAATTTTACATTAATTTTGACCCTGAAATTTTATGTCTTTGCAGAAGTAAGAATATTTTTAAATTATACATTCTGTTTCGTGTATGGTCACATGATAGCAGATTGGACTTGTTGTAAAACCAGGTGTTCCTGTCAACTGTTAATATCAGCTCCTATTGAGTGCCTACATTAGTGAATTTCACAGTGATATTTATATACACACATATACAATACTTGAATCCTGACCACTCTCCTTACTTCCATTTTCCCCTCTACTCCCTTTTTCATCCCCAGTTACCTTCCCTCTTCCTTAATGTTCCCTCCATCATTTTCTAGTCATTCTTATTTTCTTCCCAGATTCCACATGTTAGGGAGAGAATGTGATAATTGGGGTTTTGTTTCTGATTTTTTCACCTTAACACGATGACCATCCTTTCCATCCATTTTACAATTATTGTCTTTGTTTCTTTTTTAACATTTTTATTTGGGGTTTGAAATATACCATTTCCTGGGCCTTAAAATTTCTACTCAGAAATCTAATATTTTTCTGATGTGTTTATAATTGCTTTGGCCCTTATTATAGATTTCAGTGTACCTTTGGTAATTTTATAGACTATGATTTGGAGAAGTTCTTTTCGGGCCATGTCCATTTGGTATTCTAAAATCTTATACCTGGATGTCCATAACTTTCACAAGATATAAGAAATAGTTTATTTTATTCACTGAAAAAGCTTTCATTGCCTGTAGCCTGTACCTCTTCTCCATTATGTGTACCAGTGATTCATAAAAGTAGTCTATGAATTCTGTCTAGTGGTTTTGTAATTTGTTTACAATTATTTTGATTGTTGTTGATATTGTCTGAATGTGATATTTCATAATTCTGTAAGAGTTTCTTCATTTATTTCTAGTCTTGCTTTAGTGTGTCCAGACCACTGAATTTTAGTCATCTCTTTCCATTACTAAATGTGTGTGTTAGGTTAAAGCTTTTTATCGCTGTTCTTATTTTTATTTTTTTTTCAGCACCAGGTTTTATTTTATTTTTTTAGATATGTATGACAGTAGAGTGTATTTTTTACATACATGGGCTACATCTGATTCTATTTAGGATCAGAGAGAACTTTTGGCCTTTGGGTTTTTTGGTATTGGCTTATTTCACTTAGTAGTCTCAAGTTCCATCCATTTACCAGCAAGTGACATAAATTTTATTCTTCTTTATGGATAAGAAATACTCCATTGTGTATATGTACCCCGTTTTCTTTAACCTTTCATCTGTTGAAGCTCACCTAGGTTGTTTCTATAGCTTAACTATTGTGAATTGGGCTGCTGTAGACATTGATGTGGCTGTGTCACTGTAGTATATTGATTTAAAGTCCCTTGGAGATATATATATATATATATATATATATATATATATATATATGCCCAACTCTCCATCATGTCAACTTAGGAACTTATTTCCTCAACAAGACTTCTAAATTGCAACAAATAAAATCAAGATTCAACTGGGGTGATAACTGGTTGAATGGTGTTTCCATTCCAAATTTTCAGAGGAATCTCCATACTGTTTTCCAGAGTACTTGCACCAATTTGCAGTCTCACTAGCAAAGTATGAGTGTAACTTTTTTCTCACATTCTCTCCAGCATTTATTGTTACTTGTATTCTTGATAATTCCTATTTTGACTGAACCAAGAATGGAATATCAATGTAGTTTTAATTTGCATTTTCTAATTTCTAGAGAAATTTAGCATTTTTGTGTTTTTTCTACTTTTTATTGATCTTATAATTTTTTAAGTGCATGACAACAGTGGAATGCACTACAATCCTTATTACACATATAAAGCACAATTTTACCTCTGAATATAAAGTATGTTTATGTCAATTTATGCCATTTTACATATACTATTTTTCACTACAATTTGTTTTTTATTTTTATTTGTTTCAGTTAGTTACACATGACATTACAATGACCTTGACATATCATACATTTGAGCCACATGAGATACAATATCTCATTTTTCTGAATATACAGGTTGTAGATTCACATTGATCATGCATTCACATATACACACCAATAATAATAATGTCTATTCCATTCTACTATCCTTCCTATATTTCCAACCTCTCCTCTCCCCTCCCATCACTTCTCTCTTCTTAATCTAAGGTAGCACTATTCATTTTTTTTCTCACATCTTCATACATGTAGTTTGTATAACAATGAGGCTCTTCTTCCACCATCCGTGCAATTCCCTTTCTCCCTCCCTTTCCCTCCCACCCCTCTTCCCTGTGTATAGGTAATCTTCTTCTCATGCTTTTCCTCTCTTCCCCATTTTGAGTCACCCCCCTTATATCAGAGAAGAGGTTTGGCATTTGTTTTTTGGGGACTGGCTAAATTCACTTAGCATAATCTGCTCTAATGCCATCCTTTTCCCTGCAAATGCCATGATCTTATTATTTTTTAGTTCTGAGTAATATTCCATTGTGTATATATGCCACATATTTTTATCCATTCATCCATTGAAGGGCATCTAGGTTGGCTCTACAGTCTAGTTATTGTGAATTGTGCTACTATAAACATTGATGTGGCTGAGTCCCTGTAGTATGCTGTTTTTAGGTCTTTTGGGTATAGTCCTAGAAGAGGAATAGCTGGGTCAAATGGTGGTTACATTCCCAGTTTTCCAAGGAATCTCCATACTGCTTTCCAAATTGGCTGCACCAATTTACAATCTCACCAGCAGTTCAATTCTGATCAAAATCCCAATGACATTCCTCACAGAAATAGAAAAAGCAATTATGAAATTCATCTGGAAATATAAGAGACCCAGAATAGCAAAAGAAATTCTAAGCAGGAAGAGTGAAACAGATGGTATCACTATACCAGATCTTAAACTATACTACAGAGTAATAGTAACAAAAACAGCATGGTACTGGCACCAAAACAGGCTGGTGGACCAATGGTACAGGATAGAGGACACAGAGACTAACCCACAAAACTACAACTACCTTATATTAGACAAAGGTACTGAAAGCATGCACTGGAGAAAATATAGCATCCTCAACAAATGGTGTTGGGAAAACTGGAAATCCATATGCAACAAAATGAAATTGAATCCCTATCTCTCACCATGCACAAAAGTTAACTCAAAATAGATCAAGGGTCTAGGAATTAAACCAGAGACTCTGCATCTAATGGAAGAAAAAGTAGGCCCTAATCTTCCTCATGTGGAGCTAGGCCCCAACTTCCTTAATAAGATGCCTATAGCACAAGAGTTAAAACCAAGAATTAACAAATTGTATGAATTCAAACTAAAAAGTTTTTTTTTTCTCAGCAAGAGAAATAATATGTGAGGTGAATAGGGAGCCTACATCCTGGGAACAAATTTTTACCCCTCAACATCAGATAGAGCTCTAATCTCTAGGGTATACAAAGAACTCAAAAAGCTAAACACACACACATACACACACACACACACAAATAATCCAATCAACAAATGGGCCAAGGACCTGAACAGACACTTCTCAGAAGAGGATATACAATCAATCAACAAATATATGAAAAAATGCTCACCATCTCTAGCAATCAGAGAAAGGCAAATTAAAACTACCCTAAGATACTATCTCACTTCAGTAAGAATGGCAGCCATGATGAAGACAAACAACAACAAATGCTGGTGAGGATGTGGGAAAAGGGTACCCTCATACACTGCTGGTTGGATATTGAGCATTTTAAAAATATATTTGCTCACCAATTGTATTTCTTGTTCTGTAAACAACCAGTTTCAGATCCTTTGCACATTTATTGACATCCTATGACCACTAGAAGAGAATATTAACTATACTGGGGTGTGTGTGTGTGTGTGTGTGAAGTTTTTTGATTTTTTTTTATGGGGACAAGTAGTGGGGATTCAACTCAGGGGCATTCAACCACTGAGCCACATCCCCAGCCCTATGTTTTATTTTATTTTATTTTTATTATTTTTGTTGTAGATGGACACAATTTACTTATTTACTTGTTTATTATTTATTTATTTATTTTTATGTAGTGCTGAAGATCAAACACAGGGTCTTACACCTGCAAGGCTAGTTCTCTAACACTGAGCCCCATACCCAGCTCTGTTTTGCATTTTATTTAGACATAGAGTTGCTCAGTGCCTCACTATTGCTGAAGCTGGATTTGAACTCTCGATCCTCCTCTTTCAGCCTCCTGTGCTGGTTTGTTTTGAATTCTTTATATATCCAGAAGACTAATGTTCTGAGGTGCAAGTGGTAAAGATTTTCTCCCATTTTGTAGGTTCTCTGTTCATTTTCTTGATAATTTTCTTTCCTGTGAGAAAGCTTTTTACTTTGTTACCTTCCCATTTATTGATTTTTGATTTTATTTGTTGCAATTTAGAAGTCTTGTTGAGGAAGTCAGTTCCTAAGACAAGATGATGGAAAGTTGGGCCTATATTTTCTTCTAGTGGGTACAGGATGTCTGGTTTAATGCCTAGTTCCTTGATGTAGTTTGAGTTGAGTTTTGTGCAGGGATAGGGGTAGGGGTTCAATTTGATTCTGCCACATGCATATTTCCAGTTTTCTCAGTACCATTTTTTAAGAGGCTGTCTTTTCTTTTAATGTATGTTGTTGGTGACTTTGTCTAGATTAACAAGACAGTATGAATGTGATTTTTGTCTTTGTCATGTCTTTTCTGTTCCATTGGACATTTTGCCTGTTTTGGTGCCAATCCCATGCCATTTTCGTAGCACTATAGTATAATTTGAGATCGGATCTTGTGATGTCTGCTGTCTCCTTCACTTTTTTTCACTAAGGATTGTTTGGAA